GGCTATTCTCAACAGTTTTCCTTAGCTCATATACTACTAGAATGCTTTTCTGAGATTATTCCTTATTTCCATTGCTTTTATCTTTTATATTAATAATGTTCATGTCTACAAATTCAGCTAAAAGTTAGACACATTAAACTGTAATGCTCAAAGTTCTTTTTTTTAAAAAAATAGTTTTTATTGATTTTCTACAGAGAGGAAAGGAGAGGGATAGAGAGTTAGAAACATCGATGAGAGAGAACCATCGATCAGCTGCCTCTTGCACACCCCCTACTGGAGATGTGCCCGCAACCCAGATACATGCCCTTGACAGAAATCGAACCCAGGACCTTTCAGCCCGCAGGCCGACGCTCTATCCACTGAGCCAAACTGGTTTGGGCTCAAAGTTCCTCTTAATGAGAAAAATCACAGGGCTGGAAAAACCACAGAACATTACCAAAAGAATAAAAGTAGTCAGAATTTGAGTGTCATCTCCTCAAAGACAGAACCAAGACCTGAGATCTACAGTATTACACAAGACACTTCTGCAAAGCAGCATTTCCCCCTCCTCTCTTGAATGAGTAATTGGAACACTGAGAATCCATTAAAGACCACAATCTTTATTTTGGCTAAGAAAATAATAACCTATCCTTATGGAAATTAACCAAAGGGCTTGCAAGCCTCTTTAGGGCCAATTCTAATATCTGGCCATGGCAGCAAGCCAGACAGCAAGACTTCTTTAAAAAACAAAACAAAACAGGTACTTGTGTTAAAGATTTATTAAATTATTAAACTTTTTTTATTCATTCCATTCAGGACTGAAAATTAACCAATTTAACCTTTCAAGACCCTGCTCTTACCTTTTTTGAAGAAGACTTATCCTTATCTCCCACTGACAAATAGGTAAGGCCTCTTTCAAACACCTACAGCTGTCCTCTATAATGGGTATAGATGGGTCAGCTAGGTATGCGGTTAAACTGCAGATTCTGCTCTATAGGCCTGGTGTGAGGATGCTAGCAGCAGCTACCAGGTGATACAGATGCGAAGGTTCACAACTATACTTGTATGTAGCAGATCTATAACCTACTTCTGCAAGTCCATTAGCGCACCTATCTCTTCCTTTTGGAATTCTAATAATTGGCATACACATCTTCTCTAACCCAATGAATTGTAAACTTCTTGGAAGCATGATATGAATACCAAATATATTTTTCTCTTTCGTAGAAAATAGCAATCAGGTATTCAAGTGACAGGAGGCAAGTAAAAATACCAATGAAATAAAGTTCTGCAGCTTAGGACACAAAGAGCGTCTCTCTATAGAATGACAGGTAGACTAAAGATCAATAAAAGCTGTGAAAAGTCCAACTATTTTTAATCACTTATTTGGTTAGATTGAAACGGAACACAGCAATTGCCAATATCAGGAGAGCTGTGACCAAAGCATGATTTTCTTTACACTGAATAACAGAGTGAGGGGCACAGATCTGCAACATGTTGAAAAGCTAGCAGACTTTTCTTTCTTTCTTTCTTTCTTTCTTTCTTTCTTTCTTTCTTTCTTTCTTTCTTTTTTTTTTTTTTTTTTTTTTTTTTTTTTTGAGGAACTACCCAGTCAAATAGTAACTCCATTAATTAGGGGAGTTAGAGAAATTTCCTTTTTGAAATACAAGATAGACTACACAAAGAATCACTGAATCATCAAATTCAATGTGCTTACAAAAAAAGTTAGATAGGTGATTTATCCTAGATTAGTTACAGTATTAAGTAAATGGAAGACTTGGAACTCGTATATAGATGCCCAAACATCTAGTTCAGGATTTTTTGCACTATGCTACCTCTTGAACAGACACTAAATGAATAAATAACACTTTCCATTGTTCTCAAATTGTATCTTGTGAATTATTCTGACTTACTATTCTATTCTGAATTACCTAAGGAAGTAAAAATAAACTTTTTTTTTTTCAAAAAAAGGGGGACAAACAACATGAACACATACATTACATACACATGGAGAAATATAAATGGTTAATAAATATGAAAAAATATTCAACTTTGGTGGTAATCAAATAAATGTAAATTTTAAGTCAAATACCGTTTTTGGACTACTGAATAGGCACATATAAAAAACACCTACTGATTGTTTAGTGTGAGGAATACACATTGGTAGACTTTTCAGTAGAGCAATTTGGTACAATAAATCAGAAATCCTAAATAACTGACATACCATAGGATCCAAGAAATATTATAATTCTAGAAAAGTTACCTGAGGATATATTTGAAGATTTTCAGTAAATATCATTGTATGTGTATCTTTTGTACATTTTTTATAATTTTGTATTTATGCCCAAGGAAAAATGATCACAATGATTTTATTGGGGGGGGGGGTGTTAAATATATTTTATTGATTTCAGAGAGGAAGGGAGAGGGAGAGAGAGATAGAAACATCGATGATGAGAGAGAATCATTGATTGGCTGCATCCTGCACGCCCCCTCCTGGGATCAAGCCTGCAACCCAGGCATGTGCTGTTGGCCAGAATCAAACCTGAGACCTTTCAGTCCACAGGCTGAGGCTCTATCTACTGAGCCAAACCAGCTAGGGACACAATGAGCATTTTAGGCACAGAGTGATATTCCAAAATGCCTTTGAGATCAGGGGAAACCACTTGCCTACAGATGTTCAGGATTATATATTTCAGTTGTTATTTTATGAATAGCACTAAGACTGGATAGACCTAGTCCTTTAGGGCTGAGGTATAGTTTGCCTGAAAAAAATTATTTTTGTAAGAGAATATGTGGCTTTTTAAAACTGGCTATTAAAGGAAAAAATGATGACCAGCTAGGTGGAAACGTGAATACTCAATGGCTGTACATGGGAGGGAATAAACAAGCTGATAGAAGTGAAGGAGGAGGAATAAAATACCTTGGGGAAGATAAAGGACTTATTTTCAAACAGGTACCGAGTAAGCAAGTCCCATCACTGAGACATAAATTCCAGTTAGATAAATAACTCATTATGACTAGATAGATGTTTTACAAATGTTTTCTAACTGGTATATATTGCTAAAACTACTTTGGTAAACACTGTGTTTAAACTGAATCCAGCATGTCTTGTAATTCTGGTTTATTAAACTTTATTTTCCATTCATTAATCTTACAAACTTAGCTCTCCAATCAAACATACCATTTCAAAAAAGTACATGTGATATAACTTTCTATTCACTGTCAGCTTTTCTTTCCACTATTTTAAGATTTTTTTCCCTTTGGGTTTTTTGTTTGTTTGTTTTTGTTTTTGTAACTGAAAGGCAGACAACTCATATTTCAGGCCATTATATGGATATAAAAAATAACATTATCTAGTGTCCTTAAAGAGACTGTTCTCTAATAACAATGAGAAGGAAAAGAGAATAAGTGTATAATGAAAATTTATACAGAATATTTTCCTATATACAGAAATCACTCATTGCTATGTAAGTGGCAATAAGACACTTAATCATTTAATACTAACACATTTATATACAGTTATTAGTTCTCTAATGTATTTTCACAGCCAGTTCTTTAGTTTTCTTTATAGTGCTCTTCCACTGAAAAGGTTCAAGCTAATACTGTATATGGTTTTCATGTATGACTTGTAAATCACAGAGGTAAGTGAGGAGAAGGGGAGAGGAAGGAAGGGAGGCAGCTGATCAAACTATTTTAAACACAAAATAAAAAATTTAATGTACTATGGTGAAATAAGCACTGTGAGTCAAGAGACCTGATTGAAGTCTCAGTTCTCCTTATAACCATGACTTCCTGAGTGACTTAATCATGTTTTTTAAATTGTAAAGAAAGTGATTTTAACTTAATGTCCATCTTAAATTTGGTGTTTAAAAAATCCACAATTGCCCAGGGGGCGTGATTTAGTAGTTGAGCGTTGACCTATGAACCAGGAGGTTGCAGTTCAATTCGGGTCAGGGCGCGGGTTGCAGGCTCCGTGCAGGAGGCAGCTGATCAATAATTCTTTCTCATCATTGATGTTTCTGTCTCTCTCTCTCTCTCTCCCCTCCCCTCTCCCTTCCTCTCTGAAATAAATAAAATTATATTTTTTAAAAATTTTGCAATTAAAGTTTTTTCAAATATTATATAACATTGCAATCAAAGGTATGTCATTTTTTTTTTCCATATGGAGTTAGTCCCTCACTTTTGTCTCAATTTGCCCTGCAGCATGGATGCATTACTTAGGTTGCACACTCAAAGATGTACTTTGGAGGAAAAGGACTGAGGAAAGATTCCTTTTTAAGATGGGATGCAGCTGAGCAGGAGAAGTAATTAAGGAATGAGTACCTATGTATGCATGCAAAAAAAAAAAAAGTGATCATTCGCAAATCAGAAGCACTAAAAAGAACAACTCATGCTTAAATTTGGGAGAGGGGCTGTAACAACAACTGAGGGAGGTGTTGGGCCCAGGACTTCCAAGTCATCTCCAGCCTCCAACCTTTATTCCCCACTGGACACCAAAACCAGCCTCCAGTTCCGGGTTCCCAACCAATCATATCAAGCCACAACAGAGAGCATTGCCAACCCGGGCACCGGTTCAGGGCTCCAGAGTGAGATTCACACGACCCCAGCAACTGTCGGCCTCACCCTTCCCCAAAGGAGGTGATGAGCAGGAACAGTATTAGGTCTACCCCCCGGCCTTTTCGGTTCGGGCTACCACCAGGTCCAGGGGCCCTCGACACCGAGACCACCTCCACACTCCGGGCACAGAGGAGGAGCGCCGGGCTGCGACCCTCCCACGGATCCTCTCCCCAGGCTAACCCTCCCCTTTAGGGTCCCAAGCGCCGGCCACGGTTTCTCAGGCCTCGGGGACGCCGGGCCTGAAAAGCGGACAGACGAATGCGGCATCGGAGGGTGTACTCCTCGCCACCAAAGGGGGGGAAAAAAAATAGGAAAGCAGGGGTAGGGCCCGAGGTGTTCCCCCTTGGCGACGGCCTCCCGCCTCCCGCGCGTCTGTCGGAGGGTCTGTCATTCCTTCCCGCACTCACCAGGAGCAGCAGGGAGCATCTCAAGTCGGGGAAGGCTGGGAAGACGGCAGGATTCATGGTAACGCCGGGATCCGCGGCGGGGACCGGGTAAAGGTTGGGTTGGGTTAGGAATGGGATGGGCTCCGGGGGCCGGCGGCAGCGGAGGAATCTCCCGGCAGCGACACCCCGTCCTCTCGACCCGGAGCTCCCGCGGCGAACACCCGGGACAACTTCCAGAGAGGCCTCTCAACCCTCACTTCCGGGTCCCGCCCACCGCGGGGCACGTCGGGAAACGTAGTCCGTGGCTACTTCCGCTGAGCACGTCATCGCGCATCCAGAACTCCTTTTCCCATCAGGCTCTCCGCCCGGGCGTACTGTGTTCTCTGCGCGCGCGAGGCCTTGTGGGATAGAAAGGGCGGAGAGCAGGAGAGCCCTGTGTTTTCGGAAGGATGGGAACTACAATTCCCAAAAGGTGGTGCGGTCCAGAGTCAGCGGCCTTCAGAGGGACCCCCCCCCCCCCTCCGTTAGGTTTAGCGCAGTGGGGGCTCTGCCCCGGCCGGATGTAGGGACGGTCTTGGCTCCCAGCGGGTGGGGCGGCCCAGTGGGGGTCGTGCCTCCTGGGGCCGCCCCCGGGACGCGAGTCCTGGCGGAGGCGAGGGTGAGTAGTAGGGTGCCTGGTTGGGAAAGCTCCAATCGCACCGCCTTGGCCCCTGCCTGAGACTCATCATGGTCCTCCTGGCCCGGCCTGTGGCCTGAGCCTCCATCCTTGGCCTCCCCGCCTGCTGCCTCTGCTTTCCGCGCTAATTCCTGCTAAATCGAAGCCACTTCTGGGGGCCTCAGTTGAATAAGTAAACGACGCATCCTTTGGGCTCGTAAAAGGAGATGTGGGATAGCATGGGAAAGCACGTTGTAAACAGAAGCTCAAGCGTGAGAGTGCCGCTAACACGCATGACTGATCGCTCCCTACAAGACAATTAACGAAGCTCATTAGCCGGTTGAGGATCTTAACCTGGCCTCTGCTCTCCAGCCTCCTCTACAAACACCCAGCCGGGTCACCTGCCCCGAATGGTAGCCAAACAATCACGACTAAGTACCTGGATGCATTCTTCTTTATTGTGGTTCTCCCTATGCCTTGCCTTTGCTCCAGCGTTCCAGCTGCCTGGAATGGCCTTTTAACTTATTTTCTATTTGGAATTTCATCTAAAATTTTGTCACAGCCTCTGAAAACTTCCCACGCAACCAACCCTTTAGTGCTAATCAGAATTGCTTGTGACTTAACAGCACCACTGGTTTTGTACAGTTATAAATTACTAGACCGTTTATTACAGTGGCTTGTTTTACAATTAGTAGTGATGATGATGCCTTTACATTTTATAATTAACAAAGTGGTTTTGATTTTTCACCTATAAATATGATTACAAAAAACAGCGCTACAGTAATACCTTTGAGCCAAAAAGAAAAATAAGCAACAACAACAAAAAAAACACCTAGAAAATCACTTTCCCAAGGTGACAAAATTAGATAGTGGCAGAACCAAGCCTTGTAGTTAAGTGTCCAGACTAGTAAAACTCTGAACACTTAGAATCTAAAATTACATATATTAGAGTTCAGAACAATACTGTTAACGTAAAAACATTCAAACCTGTAAAGAATTTTAGTGAGTTTATTTGAGCCAAACTGATGTCAATTGCCGGGAAGCAAAATCTCAACAGAGTAGGATAATGCTCCTGAGAATTGCTGTTTTTTTGTTTTGTTTTTACCTTGTTTTTATAAATTACCATCAAAGGGGAAGACTTAAGTGGGTTGCATGAAATCCATTGGTGATAGATTAGGGAAGTGGGAGAAAGCAAATGGAGTGGGGGGACCCGGTGGGGAAACCTCTGAGATTGGATAAAAAGTGAAATGTTGCACATATGCTTCTAGTACATAGATGGTTACAGGATAGTTAACATCGTTAACAGCTGACAATATGGTAACAATAAACAATGAGGGAATTTGTGGTTTCCAGCCATGGTGCCATTTGTTGTGCCCTCAGGGGTCCAGAAAAAAAAGGAGAGTTGCAAGTTATCCAGACATTTCACAGGTCTGTTATCTTAGGTGCAAAAAGACAATAGACTCAGTAAAGTTTGATTGACATTGATCTTTGTCAGGGAAAATGCTGGCCTAGAACATGACTACCCACTATAAACTTCTTTCAGTTAAATCTTTAATTTCAGACCTTTGTGGTTACTTTAGGTCTTTGAGTTTGCACAACCTCCATGCACATGGCCTTCCCTGAACTAGTCAGGTTAGCATGTGACCTTTTTTATTTTTTTTCCATCCATAGTACTTGTTGAACGAATCAATGTGGTCTCCCTTTTCTATTTTCATATTTTATAGGAAATCTGAGAGCTGAGGTAGCCAAAGGACACACTGCTTATTACTAATGGAATAGAGCCTACAGCCCTAGTGCAATTATTTCTCTGCTGTGTTTCTACCTCCACCCTTGTTTTGTAGCTTCTCTCAAGTCACTTTAATATAGCCTGCGTATGACAATGGTTTTTCTGACATGACCTAGACATGCTTATACATGACAAGTGTCTCACAACGCCCATGAAATAAAGGCACAGAGGGCTGACCTTTACCAAAATTAAGAAACACTTCCATTCTAAGGCAGCATCTGAACCAAAATCCCTGTCAGTGACAACACAAGTACCAGCTCATCAATAGTGATCATTTACCTTACAAAACTTTCAGATTCTCGGGTGTCACAAAGATTGGAGTGATGCTCCTTGGTAAAACCAAAAGAGGGCCTTTCCTACCTTTACGGAAGCTATTAATGAGCTCATTACCAGCTGCTCTCTTTAAATAGCTGCATGTGTGCTCCAGTGTGCCTGACCCCCATGGCTCCCTGTGTTTCTGACAGTTTTTAACCTCCCTGATCTATTTAGGCATTCAGCTTTGATGGGACATGCTGAGGAAGGAAGTTTTAAGTTCATTGATGCAACTACCCCACTTCCTTTCCCATCAGGTGCTTGAATTCTTGCTGGATTTCTCACATAATCCAGCCTCTGCTTAAACAATCCTGATAGAGAACTCACTATTTTCCTAAGCACAGAGTGCATTTCTAGATAGTTCTAGCAGCCATATCAGACTACTAATCAGAACAAAAATTTCCTTATGAAACATGGTTAATTCTAATGATGTGGTGTTCCAAGTAAGATCTAGGTGTATTTCCCTGATGGGAACAAGGAAACAACAAATAAAAATATTAAATTCTGCCTTAAAGTTCTGTCTTTTATCTGCATGAAAAAAGAACTAGGTTTTAATTGAGCACTTACATCTGGTTAATTCTGACCTAACATGTTCACATCATACCTATTTTGTGGCTTGGCCATTACCTTTTCCCCCAATATCAATTCTAATGTTAGATATTATGTGGAGTTAAATTACTTGCATTAACTTAAAAATCAATGTGGTTTTGGGGCACTGTACCTAATGTTAAATATCGAGTCTCCCACCCCCCAGGATAGCCCCTGAGAAAGGCTTTAGGAGCATCTAATCCCTTCATATTAAAGAGGAGAAACTTAAAGAGTCACCCAATTTGCCACATTATGGCAATTCTAGGGCTAGGGCTGCAGATTTTTTGAATCCTAGTCACAGATTCTAATAAACCATCTATACCAATAAAAGGGTAATATGCTAATTAGGGTGGACATCTTCCAGACATCCATCCGGACAAAGCCACAGCAGCCAGCAGTAGCAGCAGCAGCGGGGTGATGGGGGTAGTGCCTTCTCCTGATTAGCCTGGTTGCCTCCCACAGAAGGAGGCCAGACTTCGGCTTAGGCCCGCTCCCCGTGGGACTTAAGCCGTCAGAAGGATATCTCCTGAGGGCTGGCAGACTGTGAGAGGGGGCAGGCCGGGCTGAGAGACCCCCCTCTCCAGTGCATGAATTTTTGTGCACTGGGCCTCTAGTATTTATAATATATCTAATTCCAACGAATGAGACAGCTTTTAGAAATGTTTCCTGCGTGTGCTCACGGCTTCAATAATTGTTTCAGGTTTCTTCAGTTGCTGAGAAGACTATGAACAGATCAGAGAACTTGTTCTTTACTGGCTCCTCATTAGCATCCCAAGTTCATGCTGCTGCTATTAACGGAGATAAGGGTGCTCTTCACAGGCTCATCATAGGTAAGCAGTCCCTGAATATACAGAAACTAAAAATAACTCTTTGTCCTCAGGAAGTCTGTTAATCTTAGTTTTAATTTGCACTGTACTTACACATTTTAATGAAAACACATTATTATTTACCTTTTGTTCCAGGACTTGAACAATAAATTAAGCCCTGGAACTTAAAAATATGGATTAGGATTAGGTGAAAAGTACTTGAAAAATATCTGTATATTTGGCTTTGGATCTGGATATGTATGCTAAGGTAATTCATCCTTGTAATAATAGATATCTAGAATGAGATAGTAATCAATGATCTTTATATTTAATATATTCCAAAGGTACTAACATTTATAAATATTTTAAATTATGATGATTTAAAATTGATTTAGTGATCTTCCTATCATTGATTGATGGACACTCATTCAGTGTCCTGCCTAGCATATGTATAGAGATAGGGCCAATAGAAGTTCTAGAAAGAGAACAAAGTGAATAGAAGAGGGACAGTATTCAAGGACAAAATGGCTAAGAATTTTTCAAAATCATAAACCCCAGAAATTCACCTGTTCATAAGTCATTAGCCCTAAAGAAAATAAAGAAAATAAAAATATATATTGTTTGTGATCATTTTACACACCAGTGTCTGTGACATCATGACTGACAAATTGGGCTTTGAAAATAAAATCTACACTACTTGGATTTTCATACCCATTCTTTCAGAACTTATTTTCATCCTACCTTTCCAGTTTCTCCAGGAACTTCTACCCAGGCACTCTAACTTCTGACGAGGCTTTCTGTTCCCCAGTATGCCATGAATTTGTTCTTACTTTTCCCTGTACATCTCTCCCCTCTCCTCTTTCCTATCTTCTCGCCTTATCCATTTCTCTACTGAACAATCTCCTAATCTTTAAAGACAAAATTATTTTACCACACACTGCAAAGATTTCTCTTCTCTGTTAGGGATGTTATCACCTGATAACTTAGTTCCCCTTCATCTTCCTACATTCACAGTTACTCCCGGGAACTTTAGTACTTCTGAATCAATCATTCAGACATTCACCATTCAACTAAAACTCTCTTACTTCCAGCTCACTTACTAATAAGAGTAATAATTTTTCAGTGTCTTTGAGACTTCCACATTCTTTTTATTTATTTATTTATTTTTTTTATTTTGAAGGAATATTTAATATTAACATTGTGAGTTATTATCTTTTGCATATCCAACTTACACATTTCAAACAAATCGTCATTTATATTTACAGTATACAGATGCAAAGCTTTAATTTCCCACTAAATCATCACTTTCTTAAAATGGTACATGTGATGTTATGAAATTAGCTATTAAGCATTTGAAATAGTGGAAAAGAGGTCCTTTCTTCAGTCTTTTTTTTTTTTTTTTAATATATATATATATATATATTTTTTTCCCCCCTTCTCTCCCTCCCTCACATCCCTTCCCTCCCCAGAGTTTTATGTCCATTGGTTGTACTTATGTGCATGTATAAAAGTCCTTCGGTTGATCTATTATCTCCCCCAGATCTTCCTCCCCTCTCCGCTGTAATTTGACAGTCTGCTCGTTGATATACTGTCTCTATATCTATCTTTTGGTTCATCAGTTTATAATGTTCTTTATTATCCACAAATGAGTGAGGTCATGTGGTGTTTTTCTTTCAATGACTGGCTTATTTCACTCAGCATGATGTTCTCCATTTCCATCCAAGTTGCTGCAAATGATGAGAATTCCTTCTTTTTTATGGCAGCATAGTATTCCATTGTGTAGATGTACCAAAGTTTTTTGATCCAATCATCTGCTGATGGGCACCTAGGCTGTTTCCAAATTCTAGCTATTGTAGATTGTGCTGCTATGAACATAGGGGTGCATATATCCTTTCTGATTGGTGTTTCTAGTTTCTTGGGATATATTCCTAGGAGTGGGATTACTGGGTCAAATGGGAGTTCCATTTTCAGTTTTTTGAGGAAACTCCACACTGTTCTCCACAGTGGTTGCACCAGTCTGCATTCCCACCAGCAGGGGACTTCCACATTCTTTTTTGTTGTTGTTTTGTTTTAATTTCAACTATTAGTTTCCTTCTGTCTTTATGTTCTTCTGTATTCAACCCTGATTCCATGGCCTATTATTAAAATCCTTTTCTTGGAAAAAGGATTTCCTCCTCACCTCTGTTGCACTTAGCTGCTGTAATCCCAGCTCTGGATGGACCTTATCCATCTACATCTGCCAACTCCTGAACAATTTCACCTTTCTGGGAGACTGGTAGTACCCTAAATTCATGATTACTCTCTTCAAATGGTCATTCCACACTTTCTGCTCATAATACCACATTTCTCCATAATAAGGGTTTCATATGTTTGCACTCTACCAAACCTCTGACTGCCAGTTCTCCCTCCCTCGCTCCCTCCATACTTACCTAATGCTTTATGTTTCCTACAGAAAAATGAAGACTTTAAATAGGAACTCTCATCTTTCAGCGAGATATTTACAAATCAGCTTACCTCTTCACCCATCATCTTCTCTCTTTCTGCTAAAACAGAGCAAATATCCCTTTGTGTCAAAGGTCACTTCTTTCACACATGCTCTGTATTCTATCTCTTCCCATCTGCTCCATTTAAAAAAAAAATCTCATTACTGTATCTTTAACCTTTCCTTCTACTATAATTCTTCCCATCAACTTTAAACATGTCTGTTGTATCCGTTATTTAGAAATTCCTTCCCTGTTTTTTCATCCCCCTCTAGGTATTACCATATCTCTCAACTTTCCTTCATAACTGTATCAGTGCACAGACTAAGCTGCCACACTAGAAAAAGTGACTTAAACAGTCAGAGAAAGACAAGTATCACATGATCAAACTCGTATGTGGAATCTTAAGTAACAAAATAAACTGATGAATAGAGTGGATCCAGAGACTAAAAGCATGGAACAGAGTGCAGAATCTCAGAGGGAAGGTGGGGGAGGATGGGTGGGTGGGAAGTAATCTACCAAAGACCTTGTATGCATATATGTATGGCCCATAGACACAGACAATAATTAAGGTGCTGAAGGCCTGGGTGTGGGGGGATGGAGTGGGCTGGAGGGAGGTGAATAGAGGGAAAAGGGGAATATAGGTAATACTTTCAACAATAACTAGTTATTTTAAAAAATAAAAAATACAAGTGACTTACATAAGATACAAGTATATTTCATTCTCGTAATAGTACAAAGGTAATTGGGCAATCTAAGGTGAATAGACACTTCTGATTCACACAATTCCTGGGATGCTGTTAGGGCTTGGCTCTGCCATTCTCAACATGTGGCTTCCGTCTCTGAGTCAAAGGCAGATAGATTGCAGTCATAGCCCAGCCAGCAGGAAAGCTATTTGTCATGCAGGAGATGGACTACACTTAGACACAGAGCCACACCTAGGAAGAAGAGGCTTTAAAAAGCCTCTCCCTGGATGATGTCATGCCCAGCTAAAACTCAGGGTGCTTAATTCGTGAAAATAAAAATGAGAGAATGTGTATGGAGGCAATTATCACTCCCTCCAAACCAAGCTTCTTGAGCTGTCTGTACCCATTGTCCCTACTGCTTTACCACTGTTGTATTAAAGGAAAACAAAACATACTTTCTTATTTTGAGATATACATATAGAGCAATACATAAGACTTTAACGTGCAATTTAACAAATAAATATAGAGCAAACATCCATATAACCACTGCAGAGACAGAACATTGGTCCCCAGAAGCCCCAAATACATCCTTCCCTCCCCTTAGAGTAATTGTGATCGACTTTTATGGTAGTGATTACATTGTAGTTTCACCACCTAAATATAGATCTTAAATACTGTAGTTTCTGCTTTTCTGAACTTACTTTTGCTAAACTTTTCATGTTCACTTGTACTGAAAATTGTGTATATAATTTTGTTGTTTTCTTGCTCAAAAACTCTTTAACTGCTTCCCATTGTATTTGGAATAAAATTTAAAAGTGTGCCTCTGCCTTTTCCCCTCTCCCCCCCTCACCTTTCACCATTCTTATTCTAGAAACACTTGTTTTCTTTTAGTTTCTCAATCCTATCAAGCCCTTTTCCATCTCAGAATTTTGCCTAAAATTCTGGTCTCCGGTCCTCTGTCTGACTAACTCTTAGTCATCGTTCGGATCTCAGCATTCAAGTCGCTTCTTCCAAGAGGCCTGCTGTGAACACCCAATCTCAGGGAGTTTGTTCATTGTGTTCTCTCTTGGAACTCTGTAGTTTTCTTTCATAGACCTTGTCCCAGATTGTAACTGGTTATTTCTATGTATAACTATGTTTCTCCTCTGTAAGCTAGTAACCTCCATGAGTAAACAATGTCTGTTTAATTTACCACTACATCCACGAAATCTGGCACAGTACTTGGCACTTGGTACGCACAATAGAAATATTTGTTAAAGAAATGAATAAATATTATAATTGTTAAAGAAATGAATAAATATTATATCTTGCCTTCTAAGAAGTCCATAATCATCTTGAGGACCACATATATTTATTTATTTTTAAAATATATTTTATTGATTTTTTTGCAGAGAGAAAGAGAGAGAGATAGAAAGTTAGAAACATCAATGAGAGAGGATCATTGATCAGCTGCCTCTTGCACACCCCCTACTGGGGATGTGCCCATAACCAAGGTACATGTCCTTGACCAGAATTGAACCTGTGACCTTTCAGTCCACAGGCCGATGCTCTAGCCACTGAGCCAAACCGGTTTCAGCTTGAGGACCACATTTAAATGTGCATTGAGTTGAATCAAATTGAATTGAGAGGCAGGTTAGGACTAAATGTCAATGGAAAAAAATTTTCAGTCAGAATACCTAAGAGGAAATATCTTATAAAATGGGATTCTTTATTATTTTAATGAAAACTATAATTTTGAAAGGAAACAGAGCATGTAGTATTTTATAAATTAAAAATACTTTTACAGGCTCAGTCATACAAATTAACTAATATGCCAAAAAATAAAACTTGGAATATTTCTGTAATTTTATAGCCCCTA